ATTGTTTTATGTACTTTCACTTTTCACGTATAGTATAACTACTCTTTAAGATTAAGTACTGTGTATCTCAAAAACCAGAGCTAATAAAAATTTTTCATTGTTATTTTCGTTTTTATCACCCCAAAATTAGTAGAAATTGACTAATTTAGTGTAGGAAACATTCAAAAAATATTTTTTTGTTGTGTTGTGATTGGTCAATCCACGTAACAATATAATTGAAACAACTTTTGTACTTTGCAAACTAATTTCATAGGAATCTTACCTGCTGCCGCCGTAGCTGCTGTAGGGGTAGTGGGGGAGCCTTGCATGTTTTTTGAATCATCATCCGAACTCGCCAATTCAGTAGATGATCTCAATGGAAGTCCAAGTGAGAGTCTTCTGGCAGCTGCAGAACTGCTTGACGAAGGCGTTGTTGCGTTAGCTCCATTATCCTTATCTTTTCCTCCGTTTCTGTTGCCGTACTTATTTTTCAAATATCTAGCCCACGAACTTAGAGCAGCTCCATCCTTCTCAGTTGATGGAGCCGTTGACCTGTCTGGAGAGTTGTCTCTAGATTTGAGAGTATGAGAGGAACGACTACGAGCAAGATCATGGCCTGATGCAGTCGAGCCGTATCCTCTGGAAGCAAGGTAAGCAGACGGGTTGGAGGATGTGGGAGATACTGGTTCATCGGGTTCTTCTTCATCTCCAAATTGTTGGCTGCTTCTGCTTCTAGCAAGGCGTTGCCTGCGCTCCTTCAAAGCCATGTAACGCGACCTACCGCTTGAGGGATACTTATTGTCATCATCAACAGCCGAAGAATTGTATTTACTGGTATGATGATCATCTTCCTCAGGTGGTATAGCGACGGAACTCTTACTTTTGTTGAGGAACCTACTCGTATAACCGTACCGAGGCGGTTCATCTTCTGTAACTGCTGATGTTCTGCTTCTCGTGTACTTTGTAGGTTCCTCCTTTGGGGCATATTTCGATCGACTGTAAAGCGGTGTTTCATCTCGACTGCTTCTGCGCACATTTTCGCTACTACTGTCTCTTGCGTTCGCACTTCTAGCCAACAGTGGCCCTATGTCTGTCTTTGCCATTTCTTTAGTTTCGGGTTTGGTAGGCTCTTCTGAATCTTCCTCGGTCTCCGTTTCCTCTTCGGAGCTGGTTTCAGTCTCTTCGTCGTCAGCAGCAGGAGGTGGAGTGGTGTGTGTCTTGTTCTGGAGAAATCGGCTTTGGAAAGGTTTAGGCGATGGTGTTTCTTTCGTTGAGCCAGTAGAGGATATTTTTCCACGAACCGGAGAAGGAGAAGTGTCTGTCTTGGATAATATTTTTTGTTTGACTTCTTCAGTAGTGAATGGTGCTCCAGTATTCCGAACAGCTCTGGCAGAAGCAGTAGAAGATTCCGTTGATGTTGTGGAGTCTGAACTAGGTGAACGAGTGGATTTTTTGTGGCTGGCATCTGAAGCTCTACGATTAGTACTTGGGTTAGTCTTAGAAGTAGATCTTCTTTGGCTTTGCTGCAAGGAAGTCACCGATTCGTCGGTTTCTTCTGTGCTGGATACGTTCAGCAGCAGGAGGTGGAGTGGTGTGTGTCTTGTTCTGGAGAAATCGGCTTTGGAAAGGTTTAGGCGATGGTGTTTCTTTCGTTGAGCCAGTAGATGATATTTTTCCACGAGCCGGAGAAGGAGAAGTGTCTGTCTTGGATAATATTTTTTGTTTGACTTCTTCAGTGGTGAATGGTGCCCCAGTATTCCGAACAGCTCTGGCAGAAGCAGTAGAAGATTCTGTTGATGTTGTGGAGTCTGAACTAGGTGAACGAGTGGATTTTTTGTGGCTGGCATCGGAAGCCCTACGATTAGTACCTGGGTTAGTCTTAGAAGTAGATCTTCTTTGGCTTTGCTGCAAGGAAGTCACCGATTCGTCGGTTTCTTCTGTGCTGGATACGGCCTGAAGAAAATAGGTTGTTAAGGTTTTTTTGGAAGTCTTGCATACATCTTCATGCTTCACACAAAAACACAAAAGGAAACTTGAGAGAGCTTGACTAGAGAACGTGTTGAAGTAACATGCCACTGTGTAATCGAGTCAATATTCAGGCATTTTGGAAATTATTGTGCATCTATCATAGTGGACGGTAAGCAAAACAACATATACATTACATCAAACTCTATTCTAAAATTGATTTAATCAGGTACTTGGGTAAGAGGTTACGGTTCATCCAAACTCACCTCAGGGGCGGGGGGTTTCCTTTGCCTTTCGTCTGTAACAGGTCTTTCTACAGATCTAGTTTCTGTAGTAGTTTCTGTTGATGTTGTTGCCCCTTTGTTTTGTTTTTTAATTCTCGATATTTCATCCTCCTCGCTGACTTGTCTTGTTGTAGGTGGAGGAGGTCTTTTGGGAACTACTTTCGGTTGAGGTGCGGATTGTGGAGGAGGATCTTCTTTCTTTTTTGTTCTACCACTTTCGTGATCCTGCATTTTTTTCATTACTCTAGGAGAATCGGCCAGTCTGGTGATTCCACTTAGCGGCCCTCGAGCAACATCTTCCGTATCCAGGGCTCTCTCTCTTTCATGTTTGTTTTCATGAAACCTGACACCTCTACTTGTTTGTTCAGTATCTGAATCATTATCTGGATTCTGATGGCGTCTGAATCTGCTGTATTTTGATCTAGGCCTACTGTCGTGATCATAATCTTCACCATACTCTGAAGTAACTCCTCTTCCGTATCTTTCAGTACCGTACCGGGTTTCACCGGTGGTACTTTTCGGCCTTTCACCGAATTTCCTGCCACTCAGAACTTGCTCATCATCACCGTAACCTCTTTCACCATAACCTCGCTCTTCTTGCTGCCTGAATTGTGAAGCTAATCGGTGATCGCTTTTTGATCGCATTAGACCAGGTCCTCCAGGCGGCTGTAACAACCCCGATGTCTGACCGAAATTACTACTTGCTATGTTCAAATCTCCGAATCCCGCTACGTGTAGTACTAGTTGATTGGGATCGTGAGCTAGAATTAGGCGTACTTTTCGAGTATAATCGGAATTTTCGTATTCAAAGTTTCGAATAAACTCGACCGTTTTCAGAAATATTTCCTTGGCGTCCATCAGCTCACAGTCATCCCAAATGTCAACGTTTTCGTTCATGTGTTTGTCGGCAAGGTCGCAGTTGCTCAATATATTTGAAATTTCTTGTTCAAGATTTGCTTTGAGGGTATTCAAAGTTCGTAATTCCGTACTCAGATACCTGCCGATTTCACCTCGTAAATGCTCGGTGCGATCTTTCAGAGCTTTATTAAGCCTTCTGTATATTTCCTCGACTTCTTCGCCCACGGAGAGGCAGTTAGTTTGAATACTCTGCGCATTTTTTTCCACTAATGAAAGAGTATCTTGCAGCCTGTGAATTCCACGACGGATTTGGTTGTTTATTCTTGAAATTTCTCTTCTGAGGATCTCCATGTGAGCGCCTTTACATTCTTCACATATTTTTTTATCACAGTGCGAACAGAAACTACAGTACGCTTTTTCTGAACACACGTTGCATCTTTCCATTACTTGGCCACTTGTCGGATCTGGTAGTTCTCCAGTTATTTCGATGTGTAGTTCCAGAAATCTCTGGAGAGTTACATTGGTGGGAAACCCTTGAACTCCTTGATAGGGAATTCGGTGTTCTGCCCGACATTCTGGACATTTTACCTGAAACAATGAATGTTTATTTGAAATTCTAGATTGAGAAGACATAAAGTATAGAATTTTTTGTAAACCATTTTGTTCAAATGCCTTAATAATTTTGTTCCGTTATTTTACTACCTCGACACGTGTTTCGATCACCAAGTGATCATCTTCCTCTTCAAGGGGTATAGATAAAATTGGCCGATACTTGATGAACTGTGAGATTTTCACTACGTGTCGATGTGTTGAAAATAACAGTTTGGTATTGGGATAAAACTTCAGTAATATTCATGACTACGCCAAAGGTTCCAAACAGTGCATCACAAGTACAATTTTCAATGCTCTCCAATGTTGGAAAAAGGAATAATAGCGCTATTTCAGGTAATCATATTATTAATTCTGTCATTTTAGTCTTAAAACAAAATACAACATTTTTTTGACACTTGTTTTGCTGACAAAATTGAATCGACTTCAAGGTATCCTCCATAAAAGAATCGTCCAAGTCACCCAATGCTCAGAAAAAGAGCTACCAGATTCCAGAACGTTGCATCCATGCAGCATATAACGGCGCTGTTTCGATCTGCAATAGATCTCATCAGAGGTACTGGCATGATTGTGGATGCAACGTTTGAGCTCTTGTGAAACAATCTTGAATAATACAGAACTAGACACCTTCCTGAAGCAGCATATCAACAGTGTAAGACCATCCATCACTTTCCCCGTGGGTTGGGCTACCTATCGGGGGCGTCCCCAGGTGGCGAAACGGCCAGAGGACTGGAGACCCTGTCCGGGAAGCCATTGTAGCCTTACGGACGGGGTCGCCGGACTCCTGGTCAGTGGCAGAAATAAGTAGAGTGAGGGAAACTGAAACTCCCCAAAAGGCTTTGCAAAACATGCCACCGTGGACCAGCCTACCCAAGCTAAGGTGTGAGGAATCGTGTCGACAGCTGAATGGCCGCAGGGTAATATGCGGTCACGAACGATCCCTTTGGGAACTGGGCGAAACCTCATTATGATCAGCCTACCTCTGGTAATGCGGGGCTCTGCCAGAGGTGACCAACTCTTCCCTTGCTACTCGTGGGAACACACATAAATGAAACAAACACAAAAACAGAAACAACAAAAACCAATCCCAAGGCTGGACAGAAGTGCTCACCTCAATCTAAGGCGGTGGCTGGGGCCAATCTATCGCTTGGAATCAGGCTGGACATAGCAGATCACCACGTGATGTAATACAAAGGCCAAGGCGTAAGCGCATTTACGGTGGTGAGCCAAAAGGAGAAAGAGAGCGAAAGAGGTAGGAGTGGCAGCAACTAAAGGGTTTTTCAATTGGCGCGGTTAGATTTTGGCGCCCCGTGGCGGTCATTTTGTTTTGGTGACATCTGTCACCATACATGCATTGTTGAATAGAATAACATTACATTGTGAAGCCATACGAAATGACCCTGGAATGCTATTTCAAGTACAGAGAGGGTGTCTTCGCAGACTAAGAAAATGTATAGAGAGAGAAGGTGGTCATATCGAGCAGTTTCTGTAGCGGATTTTTCATTTCTGTTTGCTCTTGAGGTGAATGATGTCATATTCCACACTTAATGGCATACATGCGTCTTTCAAATAAAAAAATAATTTTTTTAATACCTCACACACAGCTTGTTTTATTCCATTTCAACATCTACCCGCCCTTATTGAAAAACCCATGTGCACCCTCCTCGTCATCCACTACATCTCCAACAGCACTTTCTTTGGCGGGCGCCAAGAGCTCTGCCTTGAATAAAGGCAGGGAACCGTTTACCCCTGCAGGAAAGCTCCTTCACTTGTGCACTTCCAAGGAGAGAACCCCGAGAAGGATGAAGAAGTCGCGCAACGACAGTAATATCGCTGCACCTTCCAAAACCTTCGCGGAGGCCACCGTGAGACACTTCAAGGTTGCCAAAGAGAGTGTGTGTTATAAACAATGGCAATGCTGAAGAAACAATCGCAAAATTGCTGCTTGTGCGTGCTCTAGAAATGATAAAAATGACAAAAACGATTCATATAGCACATAACACAATATTTAAAATATCACAATGGTAGGTAAAAACGTCAAATCTAGGTCAAGTGAATAACACGATCGGTTTGAAATCTCAGTGACTATAATATTCATATATCACAATACAAATTATCCAAATATCACCAATAGATGGTTAACAGTTTTATGCAAGGTATCACATGAGATGAATATCACAGTCGGTGATAGTCGAAATATCACAGTCGGTAATAGTGGGAATATCACAGTCGGTTCGTGTTCAGAATTACACGTTAAAAGGTAAGATCTCGTTAATCCTTAGCTCGTACAAGTTTAGACCTCAGAGAGTTGTCGTTGTATATCTTTTGAATAGGACAAACAATTTGTTGAAACTAATTAATTATAACAGGTATGAATTCTTAACGTAGTTTTGATTAGTTTTCATGGTTTCAGGCAGTGATACCCAAGTTTTTAGACTCAGATAGCTGCAGTGCCTCTGTCCCACTGTTTTGATACATTTCGGAACCACAATACTATGCTTTTGTCTTTTCAATATTGTATGGGTGACCTGAGCGTCTTATTTTAATTTAATTTTTGTATATTTTCTGAAACATTTTTTGGCAATAAAGTTGTGTAACATCGAAAATGGCACTTTCTCTGTATAAATTATCGCTTGGATACATTGTTCCTTTGCCCAAGATGATATTGAGATTTTTTTTTGTACATTATTGAGACAATTTAAGTGCATCTCATTTACTTCTCCCCATCCTATTATGCCGTATCAGAGCGTGTTATTTTAGATCAATTTTTGTATATTTTCTGCAACAGTTTTTAGCAATAAAGTTGTCTAACATCGAAAACGGCACTTTCTCTGTATAAATTATCGCTTGGATACATCCTTTGCCCAAGATGATTTTAATATATTTTTTTTGTACAATATTGAGGAAATTTAAGTGTCATTTACTTCTCCCCATCCTATTATGCCATATGAAAGTTGGGACTGAACTGAACGATAATATACAGATGGTGGAACATAATTTGGCTAAAAGAGCAAAAGCCTCGCAAGGAAGAGAAGCCGCCACAACCAGTTCTTGTACTTCCCTACATCAGAGGATTATCGGAGAGGATTAGAAGGATTGGGTCCAAGTCCAACATCAGAACCTACTCACAGAACCCTGTGAGTGTTAAAAATCCTATATCGGTGAAACTAAGAGGCCATTGAATGTTCGCATTGCCGAGCTCAAGAAACACACACAGCGAGGGGAAACCAGCAAATCAGGAATAGCAGACCATGTTTGGACCCATCAACACAACATCGAGTGGTCCCAAGCTGAGATCTTGCACAGAGAGGAACATTGGTTTAGGAGAAAATTCAAGGAAGCCGCATACATGTTGTCCAACAACGTATTCAGCCAAGCCAGCGTA